TTCGGTAACAAATTAGGACTTAATTTGAGTTTACTGCACGCGCGATGAATAATTTGTGTTTATAGAGATCTGCGGCGCGTTATCAGGTTAACCAGTGAAATCACGGCGTTTTCGTCACGTGACAGTCGAGTGTAGAGGGCTAATATTAAATACTAGTGGACTCTATGCAGCTCTTCAAGCACCCCTAATTTTACTGATCTGGAGGTCACATTTTATTGGGCCAGTACAGGCTAATATTAAATACTAGTGGACTCTATGCAGCTCTTCCAGCACCCCTAATTTTACTGATCTGGAGGTCACATTTTATTGGGCCAGTACAGGCTAATATTAAATACTAGTGGACTCTATGCAGCTCTTCAAGCACCCCTAATTTTACTGATCTGGAGGTCACATTTTATTGGGCCAGTACAGGCTAATATTAAATACTAGTGGACTCTATGCAGCTCTTCCAGCACCCCTAATTTTACTGATCTGGAGGTCACATTTTATTGGGCCAGTACAGGCTAATATTAAATACTAGTGGACTCTATGCAGCTCTTCAAGCACCCCTAATTTTACTGATCTGGAGGTCACATTTTATTGGGCCAGTACAGGCTATTATTAAATACTAGTGGACTCTATGCAGCTCTTCCAGCACCCCTAATTTTACTGATCTGGAGGTCACATTTTATTGGGCCAGTACAGGTTAATATTAAATACTAGTGGACTCTATGCAGCTCTTCAAGCACCCCTAATTTTACTGATCTGGAGGTCACATTTTATTGGGCCAGTACAGGCTAATATTAAATACTAGTGGACTCTATGCAGCTCTTCCAGCACCCCTAATTTTACTGATCTGGAGGTCACATTTTATTGGGCCAGTACAGGCTAATATTAAATACTAGTGGACTCTATGCAGCTCTTCAAGCACCCCTAATTTTACTGATCTGGAGGTCACATTTTATTGGGCCAGTACAGGCTATTATTAAATACTAGTGGACTCTATGCAGCTCTTCCAGCACCCCTAATTTTACTGATCTGGAGGTCACATTTTATTGGGCCAGTACAGGTTAATATTAAATACTAGTGGACTCTATGCAGCTCTTCAAGCACCCCTAATTTTACTGATCTGGAGGTCACATTTTATTGGGCCAGTACAGGCTAATATTAAATACTAGTGGACTCTATGCAGCTCTCCCAGCACCCCTAATTTTACTGATCTGGAGGTCACATTTTATTGGGCCAGTACAGGCTAATATTAAATACTAGTGGACTCTATGCAGCTCTTCAAGAGGTTTATAAACTCGTTCATGTGCTATGGTCGTGCGTCCGCGTCGATGTAGGAGGTGTGGAGCCTGCTAGTAGAGAAAATATGAAGTTTCCAACAGTAAATATTATTATCAATATCAAAGGCAGGGTATTACTTCGACCTCCGAGGCGAGGTATCCGTGTGGACCCTGGTTGTTATCAGGGTTGGAAAGATAAAGATAATTTTGTCTGTTAAAGTGGGTTATCACTCTCTGCCATCAGAGTCATAAATCACATCTCCGCAGGGTTTGCCAGGTTTTCCCTAATATTGCTTTGCTTCCAATTCTTATAATAATCAAAATATAAAATCCGATATTATTTTTGCAGGAAGTGATATTGGGATATGGCCAGCTGATGCAGATGTAAACAAATGCTGCGATTATCCAGCATCAGAAGACGAGGATGAAGAAGTAGAAGATGATGAGGTTGGAGAAAATGGGGATAAAAGAAAGAAGAAACGGGACCTAGACTATAAAGGAGATTGGCGGGAGCTTTCAAACAGAATAACTTCCTTCATTAATGATCCCGAGTTTGACGTGATGGACGATGATGTCCGTGCATTATGTTTAAAGAAACTGTCAGATACCGCCAATGATGTGGCATCCTATATTTACAAAAGAAACTAATATCTAGATAACATAGATCATACGATTATATTTGATAATATATTACTTTAAAAGCCGTGCAGCATTTTAGATATTAGATATTAAACTAACCATAATATGATATTCTCCGTCTAACTATTCGATCTGTCTCCATCCCACTATTCAATCTGTCTCAACGTTCATTCTCTGTTTAACTATTCAATCTCTGTCTCAGTGTTCATTTTCTTGTTTAACTATTCAATCTTTGTCTCAGCGTTAATTCTCTGTCTCGACATTCATTATCCGTCTACGTCTCACTATTCAATCTGTCTCAATGTTCATTCTCTGTCTCGACGTTCATTCTCCGTCTCACTATTCAATCCGTCTCAACGTGTATTATCTGTTGAACTATTCAATCTCTTTTTCAGTGATCATTCGTTGTTTAACTATTAAATCACTGTTCATTCCTGTCTCGACGTTAATTCTCTGTCTCACTATTCAATATCTGTCTCACTGTTCATTCTCTGTCTCGACGTTCATTCTCCGTCTCACTATTCAATCTGTCGCAACGTTCATTATCTGTTTAACTGTTCAATATCTGTTTCACTGTTCATTTTCTTGTTTAACTATTCTATCTTTGTCTCAGCGTTCATTCTCTGTCTCGACATTCATTATCCGTCTCACTATTCAATCTGTTTCAATGTTCATTCTCTGTCTCGACGTTCATTTTCCGTCTCACTATTCAATCTGTCTCAATGTTCATTCTCTGTCCCGACGTTCATTCTCCGTCTCACTATTCAATCTGTCTCAATGTTCATTATCTGTTTAACTGTTCAATATCTGTCTCACTGTTTATTTCCTTGTTTAACTATTCTATCTTTGTCTCAGCGTTCATTCTCTGTCTCGACATTCATTATCCGTCTCACTATTCAATCTGTCTCAATGTTCATTCTCTGTCTCGACGTTCATTCTCCGTCTCACTATTCAATCTGTCTCGACGTTCATTATCTGATTAACTATTCAATCTCTTTCTCAGTGATCATTCTCTGTTTAACTATTAAATCACTGTTCATTCCTGTCTCGACGTTAATTCTCCGTCTCATTGTTCAATCTCTGCATCAGTGTTCATTCTCTATTTTAGAGTTAATTCCCTGTCTTACCTTTCAATCTTTTTCGGTGTTCATTCTCTGTCTCACTGTTCAATTTCTGTCTCACTGTCCATTCTCTGTCTCGCTGTTCAATCTTCGTGTTTCTTTCCAAGTGTTACAGTGACAAGGAGACCGAATGATATTGTTGTAAAACAAAAAGCTTGTCCGCTTTAGTTATAGTGATATTAAAACATATACAACACCATGTATTATGAAATTTTAGATTTTGTTACAAAATATGGACAGTGAATTTGATGTTGTTGTCTAATAATACAAGACGTGAGGCGCGGCGACATTATAAATTTAAGAATTGCCCGCGCATTTTAGTACTTTGCCGCGGCTCCACTAGTTTTTAACGTTTACCAGTGTAGAGTGATTAATTATCATCCGTGCGCGGCTCCCCCTGTAGTGTCGAAGATACAAGTAAATTCATCGCAGTAAATTCATCGCAGCTCGGCATTGACAGATGTTACTAGTCTAATTTTCTTCGAAGTATGAAGTAGCGCGCGCCGCTTTCTTCTCGAAATGTTGCCCGATGCCAGATCATTAACAATGGTCAAAGCGACAAAGCTCAGCACAGTAGCGCATCTCGCCTATCTATCGTCGTTGATAGAAGCATAATTGACTGCACGGCACAGTAACGCATCGCGCTACAAGATCTATAGTAGTAGAGGCTCTTACGGGCATTGTCTGCTCGATACGCTAGGGACCCCAGATACACCTTACTAGACGTATTTTTGACCGTAGAATCGATTAAAAGTGGTTTCAAGATGATTGGACTGATTTTTCTGGGTTAAAATTGCAAAAAACCGATTTTTGAGCCAAAAATAGGCCAAAAAACCATGTTTTTTGATATTTTGAGCAAGTTAATTTTGATGGCATGTCGGCAAAACTTGCATGGAGATAGCTGAAAGACAGCCGCACAAGATGGTATAAAAATAAAACAAATCCCTCTATTTTTTTTGGTGTAAAAATCCAAAAAAGTGGTAAAAATTTTGACTTTTTTGCTTGAAGTTTGAATAATTTTTTGCAGTTGTATTTAATCAACCCAAAAATAGTTTCATCGTGTTTGCCTAAATTTTTCCTTTCCGAGAAGTACCCACTTCATATACTTTATCAAAGTTTGAATATTGTCACTCCGCAAGCGTTTTTGCCAAATTTTCGACGCGCACTACGCGCAAAAGCATTTAGTTGTTATCAATTGGCCCCCGCGCGTTCATCATAAATTTCAAACAGCTATAACTCAGCGAGATTATGTCCGTTCTAGCTCATATTTTCACACCAAATAAAAAATAATGTGATCTTATTGCTGACAAAATATGAATATAATTACTCTATTTGCCTTAGAGTAATAGACTGTCAAAGTTTAAAACGCGCATTGGTAAAGCACGTGACTAATAAGGCCAAATTTATACTTCTTAACATATTATCGATCCTTAGACATCATACTATTGTGTCCAATTAGCGGTTAGGTCTCTAAACTCGTAGCAGAAAACACGTCTTTTTGCCCGTAAGAGCCTCTACTATAGTGAAGATCATGAATCACTGATTCACGGCGACAACTGCTCCACTAGAAATTCTTCACACCAAAATTGGCACGGCTCTGATATATGAAAGACATCGGTGTTTGTGGCGCGATGCACTGTTGGGCCGCGCATCCAATAACCCTTCTCGCAACCACATCATTTAAATCGGTGAGATGTACCACAGGGCCACTATATACGGAAGATTGGCATAGTCAATTAGATGATGTGTTAACAGTTAATTTAGAGATACGGCAATCTTGATGTTACGTGTTACGGACGGCCACGGTTTCTTGTAAAACCAAACTAGGGTTATCGGACATTTGAGAGTTTACCCAGATTGTGAATTTTACTTGACCAACAAACTTGAACTAGGGTCTGACAGAACTTTTGAGGGGTTCCGCGAGGCAGCCATGACTTTCGCAATTAACAAAATAAGACTACTAGTTAATAATTAAAAATTAAATTCGGACAAAATTTACAAAAGACATTTAAACTGGTATTAGCAAAAATGAGGATCAATTTCTACCAATTTCTCCAATTAATATTTTTGTATAATCCAACAGAAGTTGTCATTTTGTAGCTTTTGCACAATTGATCTTAACCTCTTTGCTCTTGCTTTTTCTTGTCTCTGGCCTGAAACACGGTCGGTTTAGTATAAGTTTTTTGCGTTTTAAAATCTGAAGAGAAATCAATCAAATAAATATTTTGTTACAGATCAGCGAAGCTTCTACAAACAATTGTACAAGAATTAGGAAATGATATTTTTTGTGGCATCTGCTGTAGTCTCGAACGAGAATTACTCGGTCAAGAGGATAAAGATGCGAAATAATCCGAAACAACAAAATAATAGTCAATTTAATTCTGGGTTTTGCAGCTGGCGAAAGGAAACTTACCGCTTACTTGAAAGAGATGTATTTTCCTTCTACCAAAACCAATCTGTTACCTGAAGCGGTTCAAGTTAAGTTGGGGTGGCTTAAGTTAAGATAGAAGTTTATCATAGGAGTTTCAGATAGAGCTAATATTTGGATATCATTAACATCCAGGACATTTCATAAATCGGTTAGATGTCATCATTTGTAAGGAATCTCTATTTGCATATTTTGAAGCAGTCACAGATTTCCAATTACCTCAGTTGTTTTTAAGGCGGAGTTTACAAGATAGTGAGACTAGATAACTGCAAAGATCAGATTCAGTCGTTCTTTATATCTGAAATGATATCTTGCGTGTGAATTTGTTATTTAAATTTGACCATGTGAACACTGCAGTTTAAATCAGATCTGTACAGATTGGCATAATCATTGCTATCAGCCGAAAGATGGTGTGATTGATCATCATTAAATACATAGATGAAAATGAACAGTTTTAATTAAAATTTAGATTCTTACAATTGGGAAGTTTTTAGTACGTCATGTGCAGAGTCTAAGCTTGAGTAAGTCCTTTTAGCAACCTTCCCTTCCTGTAAAAGAATGTAGAGTAATTTCCCAATCTTTAAAAAGCTGCACTACGTGAACTGTGAAGGTCAGTAAGTAGGGATAATTTGTTACAGATCAGCGAAGCTTCTACAAACAATTGTACAAGAATTAGGAAATGATATTTTATTTGGCATCTGCTGTAGTCTCAAACGAGAAATTCTCGCCAAAGAGGATAAAGATGCGAGGCAAATAGACAAGACCTACAAATTACTAAGTGAGACTAACCGTTTTCTAACTTTTCAGTTGTTGTCTCTTGGTTTCACAAGAACTGTACTATAGTGGTCCCCAAGAAAATAACGCAAAAGAACAGTACACAGATCGTTCTTTTCATGTCTGAAATGGGGTTTGAATTCAGAAAGGATTGAAGCAAGCATGAAAATGTGAACACTGGAGGTCAAATCAGATCTGTACAGATTGGCATAATCATTGCTATCAGCCGAAAGATGGTGTGATTGATCATCATTAAATGAAAAAGATGGCAAATAGACAAGACCTACAAATTACTAAGTGAGACTAACCGTTTTCTAACTTTTCAGTTGTTGTCTCTTGGTTTCACAAGAACTGTACTATAGTGGTCCCCAAGAAAATAACGCGAAAGAACAGTACACAGATCGTTCTATTCATGTCTGAAATGGGGGGTTTGTATTAAGAAGAGATCGTTGCAAGCATGAAAATGTGAACACTGAAGGTTAAATCAGATCTGTACAGATTGGCATAATCATTGCTATCAGCCGAAAGATGGTGTGATTGATCATCATTAAATGAAAGAGAAAACAAGGATCAGTTTTAATTGAAATATAAATACTTACAATTGGAGAGTTTTCAAGAGTCCTAGCTTGAGTTTTGAGTCCTAGCTTGAGTTTTGAGTCCACTTCAGTAGGAATACGTCTTCTTCCTGCAAAAGAAAGAATAAATTTGCCAATCTTAAAAACGCTGCAGTTCGATCCGAACGTCAGCAAGTAGGGACATTTTGTTCCAGATCAGCGAACCTTCTACAAACAATTGTACAAGTATTAGGAAATGATTTTTGTTGTGGCATCTGCTGTAGTCTCGGACGAGAAGTTCTCGCTTTTAAGAGGATAAAGATGCGAAATAACTAGACGAAATACGAAGTTTGACTTACCATTTCCTGACATCTTATATTTTCATTTAGTTGTCTCTAGGATTGACTCTCGCTAGGTATACCCAGGTACAGCTGTAGTCTTTATTTCTAAGAAATAATCAAGGTTACCACAATATTATTTTAATAAATAGGAAAACAGAACTTAATGAATGATTCAGGAGCTGATTGTCTATCAATCTTTTTTCTGAGACTCTAGTCAAATATCATCATAATATTAGTCAGAAGAATGTGTCTAGAAATATTTTAAATCATTACCAGTGAGTGGCAGTGAGATGAATTAGTAGCGTTGTAGCAATTTATCTTGTCCATAGAGATACCCTGATACCAATTTAGCTGCTATCTTTTATTTTACTTAGAAAAAAACTTAAGATAGCCTGAAAATGAATTTAGAGTTAATGACAACTTAAAAAAACATAACGATCGCTAGCCTGAGAATGAGTTCAGACAGTATGAATACAATAAGCATCATGTCGCTTATATCAAGTAAGGTTTTTATACATCATTATCATTAATTTGAAGTCACTAGGTAGAGATGTATTTTAACTTACAGTAGCTCTGGTATGTACTGAAGAGTAAAGAGGATAGCGTTAGTCTTCAACGTCAAACCTGGAATAGTTTACTAAAATATCTGGTCTCCAATATAAAACTGGGGCATTTCAACGAGAAATATATCAGAAATAGAACAATGTTTATAAATCAGTAACACGAAGTTTCAAACATTTTTGCTATCATCATTAAAAAAATTAAAGGTTGCGTTTGGGGTTATATTCTCACATACCTGAAAGGGACATGGGGAAGGATTGCTTGACGTATGATGAGAATACTCCTTATCAGTCTTGATCTTTATTAGACTTGAACCTCGAACTGGATTAGTTTCTATTAAGATCCAATCTCAAACAGAAAATTGGGAATTTCAAATAAGAGATACAGATCAGATAGAGCTAATATTGAGATATCAGTAACATCCACGACATGACATTTCATAAATCGGTTAGATGTCATCATTTTGTTAAGAAAAGTTAATTCACAAATTCTAATTGTCATAGCAAATACCTCAGATGGTAAGGATTTCGCAACGTTTGAAGAGGTCACTTTAACCATTTCTTGATATCTGGAATGATGCCTTTATTAAGAATTCCGTTATATAAGTTTGAAAATATGACAGCTGTAGTTTAAATCAGATCTGTACAGATTGGCATAATCATTGCTATCAGCCGAAAGATGGTGTGATTGATCATCATTAAATAAAGAGATGAAAATGAATAATTTGTATTGAAAAATATACTTACAATTGGAGAGGTTTCAGGGTGTCTTCCACGAACAGTTTATGGTGTACTTAAGAATGACTTAAGTACAAATTTAAGTACAACCCTTCGTTTGTCGTCCACGAACTGAGTCTTAAGTACAAATTTTTACTTAAGTCGCATGATTTAAGTTCCTACTTAAATATTTAAGTACGACTTTGGGAGTTAAACTTAGCGTGCACTTAAAGTTGCGTTAGCCTCCATATATGGTGCGTGTTGGAAGCGTAATTGTAATCGATACTTACTTAAGCCCCAAATTTACTTAAGAGTGGACTTAAATCAGGGAGATTTAAGTAAAAAGTTAAGACCAGTCCAAACCTCACTTAAGCTGTACTTAAGTCGAACTTAAATGTAAAATCGGATTTTGTGATAACTAAAAATAGTGATTGAGGAACAGTAAACAGTTTCGAGGGTTTTAAAAACATATAAACCGTAAATTTGGAGTGTTTTTCAATAAGCTGAAGGTCTTAGTAACAGTTATCTCCAGTCAATATTTACATGAACGAATCAATGACACATGTTCTAGCTTCCTGTCCCAATTTCAGGGCCCCTTTTTCACTGACGTCCTCGCGATGTCTGTATCTACAGGGTAGTCCATATTCCTAGATCTGCAGTAATTATGCAGGACCATACAACTAACTATGATATTACATGCGGTGTCTTCCTGACATAATATTGCACCACCTGTCTTCTTGCAGAGACACCTAAACTTCGATTTCAGGACACCAATGGCCCTTTCTACAGTACATCTGCACTTTTTGTGTGCAACTTTGTACCGTTTCTCTTTCGGAGTGAGATTTTCTTCAAGCAGTGGAACCATTATGATTTCTCGCTGGCCGTACCCCGAATCACCAAGAAGCTAACCCTTATAGTTAGGCCCTTGGCTCTTGACAAAATCTTCGATCAAGGTCTTAACCCCACTTAATTTCCAAATGGTTGAATCATGGATACTACCGGGCCAACGCACAACAGAGTTCAGAAATCGCTCATTGATGTCACATATAACCTGACAGTTGATAGCATGTCCCTCTTCCAAATAACTGGAAATGACATAATCAATAATACTAATAGAATCTGCCTGGGTGCGCTCAATTTGATTCCTACTTGCTATCACACCATTGGTTAGTGTGACCTGCGTTACCTCAGTCACGTGACAGTTAAGTACTCTGCATGATACCCGTTCGTGGACGACAGGTTTGTCCTAAATTTGTGTTTGCTTAAGTGTCTCTAGTTTCGTGGACAGCAGAAATTGTCGTACTTAAGCTAAGTGCGAACTTAGCTTAAGTTCAAAAAAGTTAAGTACAAGTTTCGTGGAGGAGGCCCAGGTACATCGTGCTCAATGTCAATTGTCAGCTCACTGAAACGTAACATAAATTAAACAAAGTTACAAGCAAATAATGCGATCTAACAATATGAGCAATAAATTATGCAGATTATACTTATAACTTATTTAATTTGTAGTTCACTAGCGTAACAAACACACAGATATGCGGGTTGTTTAAAAAGTGATCAGGTTCCTCTCGCTAGAGTATACAACCCAGCACCCATTATTCTAGGTGCCAAGTGAAAAGCTCTAGCGTTAATTAGTTAATTAATTACGCTGCTAAGTTTACTGAGAATGAGACTTACTCTTCAGGTGGAAATAAAATGATTTAGCGTCTCGTTGGTGGAAACATCGGATCTAGCATACATAGTTAGTCATGAAGCTAATTCTCCTATTCTCACAGATCCTGTGAAATACCACTATTAGAACATGTTAAGGTTAAACAGCCGGTTGTATGCTGTGCTTTGGTTTCAGAATCACTAAATATCAACATTATTTTGTCTGATGACCGTCGTGATGTAATTCATCATTAAATATCCTAAAACTAAGATAAAAATAGTTATAATATCCAAATGAGTTAATACCTATAATCCTTCTTCTTGACATCTCTCCAGAGTATAGAGTTCGTTATGAGACGACACTTAACAAAGCCTGAAAATAGGTACAGTGAATATAAACAGGTAATAAATGAGACAGAGAGGTAAGATATTATCACACTCAGATACTATCTAGTGTACATAACCACACGGTTGTTCAGGTACAAGTTAACATCACCGTGTTTTGTAATATATATAAGATTTGACAGTGAAGAATGTTGACTAACCTGATATCTATTACATGTATTATCTATTCCGTCATCAGATTAACATCCATCTTCTCGGCTACACTTTGTTTAGAATTGGATGAGCTCAATCGCAGTCTTACACCATCCAGTATGTTGCGTTCGAGGCTGATCTGATAAGAAAATCAGTGTTAGTTTTGGCGGCCGATATTGAAGCATAAAAATACTTTCGCATCACAAATCAGAACTTCTTAGAGGATTGACTGTCATAGATTTATCCAGATCGAGTTGATCATCATTTGTAAGGTATGTAAGGAGTGCCAAAATAAAATGAGAACACATACCTATACTGAGAAGAGGGTGACTACTGGCTGGCATCAACTATGGCATCAACTCTTCTTTTCAACGAACTTCCAACAAAACTGAAGCGTTATTAAAGTAAGAGACTTTGTTAGTGACAACAATAAAGTAACACAAGTGTTACAAATCAGAATCACTAAATATCAACATTATTTTGTCTGATGACCGTCGTGATGTAATTCATCATTTAAAAAACTTAAAACCAGCAGAAAACGTATAAAGCACGGGTAGGGGCCGAGCACCCTTCCCCGATATAAAGTTGTAATAACGAACCTGTTGAACAAGTGACCCAAGTAGTAGTAGACGATAGAGCCGTACTTTACAGACTGAAATAAATAGGGCTATTTAGAATAAAGAAGGAAATGTGGTTAGTTACTGGTTCGATTTTTAAGTAAATCAGTAAAAAATTAGAGTTTATTTCGCTGTCAGCAAGTTGTCCACGAAATATTATCATCATTTTGAATTGAAAAATATTTTACTGTCTAAGAAGTGATTTTTTTCTTACCTAATAACTGGCAGTGCAGAATCGAGCCACATTACTTTTCAGGTGTAAGAGAAGGGAATGAGAACACCTGTACCTCGCCTGAAAATGACAGAGTCCGGTTAGTTTCAGTATTCTTAAGGGGAACCAAATAGCTGACCATCTACAGAATCCAAGAAAATTTCGGATAACAGCACTCAGATACTATCTAGTGTACATAACCACACAATTGTTCAGGTACAAGTTAACATCACCGTGTTTTGTAATAAATATATAAGATTTGACAGTGAATACTGTTGACTTACCTCTGAACTGCACATGAGACTGCTCCAGTCAAGTTAGTAATTAACAGATGAAGTTAATGTTGATCCACGAAAATTGGCTGCTAATTTGAGACTCGTATCTGATACCGTGTTTTGGTGTCGTGATTGCTGGCCTGAAATAGAATTCAATAGAAGTATTGGCGGTGTTTAACTTAGCTGAGAAATATTGTCGATATCAAATCAGAACTTCTTAGAGGATTGACTGTCATAGATTTATCCAGATCGAGTTGATCATCATTTGTATGGTCCGTAAAGCGTGCCAAAAAAAGATCTGACAGTGAATACTGAACTTACCTCTGAACTGCAAAAGAGACTGCTCCAGTAAGCTAGTAGTAAGCAGATGTAGTAAGTTAGAAGTAAGTGTTGACTGTTAATCCACGAAGAGTGGCTGCTAATTTGAAATTCCTATCTGAATTCTGATACCGTGTTTTGGTGTCGTGATTGCTGGCCTGAAATAGAATTCAATGTAAGTATAAATGGCGGTGTTTAACTTGGCTGAAAAATATTGTCGATATCAAATCAGAACTTCTTAGAGGATTGACTGTCATAGTTTTATCCAGATCGAGTTGATCATCATTTGTATTGTTCGTAAACAGTAAACACGTGCCACAATAATACGAGAACACAGAGCAGACTTACTTTAGCTGTTAGTGGGTTCAGGAAGAAAGGTCTAGTTTCAGCTCGGAATTCTCCACAGACACAACTGAAGAGTTATTAAAGTATAAGAGATTTTGTTAATCTTATATTTGATCCTTCGAACAGCTGTTGAGCAATGAAACGCAAACATAATCTTAGCAAAATGAATATATTTCTTTTATCTTCAGCATTTAATCAGTCACATAATCTGAGAATATCAAAGGTTAGAGATTTTGTTAGTGATAAAACATAAAATGTAAAAAAGTCTTGCGTATCAGAATCACTAAATATCAACAAGGTTTTGTCTGATGACCGTCGTGATGTAATTCATCATTTAAAAACAAGCAGAAATATAAACCAGGGTGAGGGGTTGAACCCTCCCTCCGGACAAAGTGGCAATAACGAACCTGTTCAATGAATTAGCTTCTTCCAGATATTCAGTTGGAGCTTTTCATACAAACTGAAACGTAAAGGGCTATTTAAAGTCAAGAAAGAGTCAAGGGTTGCTAAGGTGATGATTTTATTTTTAAATAGATCAGTAAAAAATTAGAGTTTATTTCGCTGTCAGCAAGTTGTCCACGAAATATTATCATCATTTCGAATTGAAGTGTAATATGTTTTACAACTTAGAAAAAAGTATTTTCTTACCTTATAATTGCAAGAATCAAGTCACTAGACGTATCCGCTGTCAAGGCTAGGAAGTAGGTGCAGTGCGAACCAAACTCACCTGAAAACAACAGACTCCAGTTAGTATTAGATTGTAAAGGAACCAAAATTATATTAACAGATTTCAAGATATGTTCGGATTTACAGACGCTTTGCCGACAATTTCTCAACAGAGCCTTGTAAAGCCGGATATCTTTACCACCATTAAATTATCACTACAGCTTATGTTACTAAGTGTACTCAACAGGTGGGTGCACAAGTATTTACTGGTAAATAGGTTACTGAAAAAGTAATTTAAGACACTTACCACTACAAAAATTAATATGCTCGCCCCGCAGTTTCATCATTTTCCTCTGAAGTTCAGTGTATTATCAGTTTGTTTTTTTAACTTCCACAGATCTTTCTCCGTTAGCCCTGCAAAAAGGATAATGTAATAATTTCAGGTAAAGTGAATGAGGACTACATGGTCATTTCAAGCTACGAAATGTGTGAAGACCAATAACGGGGCGGTCGTAAGAACAACCGTCCACAAAGAATGGTCATCACGAAACACGAGCCCCAAAAACTGGGGCTCGGTCAGAGGGTTGTGTAGCACGTCCATGACTCGAACACTACCTATACGCTACACAATAATGCAGCGGACACACGCTCACTTGCACCCTGTACGAGCAGTACAATGTACATTGTACACGAGTGTACAGTGTACATTGTACACGCATGTGCAGGACCAGGAGAGGGTTTGTGTGTCAGGTAGCGGCCCTAAGGAGACGTGCAAGGAGGGGGAACTGAACATTATGTGAAACAACTTACTGTTATGATGTGACTTTTGGTGCAGATTATGTCCGAAGCAGCTGCTTATCACACCGCATCTGAGTCTCCTAAAGAGATACGCTGAGTTAGATGTCATACTCTAGAGAGCAAAATGTCAACAAAAAGGTTATGTTTATAACTTCCAATAAATTTGTAGAGATATCTTACAGAGGCACATATTAGGTGCGGTAAAGAAATCGAAATTATGCGGTACCGCACCCGACTATAAAGGTAAAATGTGCGGTAAGGTGCGGTAAATTTTTACCAATTATGCGGCAAATGTGCGGCGATTTTTTCGAAATTTGTGCGGGAATTGTGCAGTTTTCTTTTGCATTTTCTCAAGGACTTTGGAAATTCTAAACGTATAACCGCCGCTCTTATCAAAAATAGGTATGTTTATGTGTTACTGAGGGTGTAGTTCTTTACTAAGACCATGATTGAACATATATTGAGATTCAGTTATCTGAGAACAGTGACTTGATCTGGTAAAGATCAGGAGACAGTTATTTGAAGACGCCTCTTGATAGAGTCGATCAGATCCCATGCGTGATCGCAAATATGTGACACGCTTGTTGGCATTGATCGTCAGTACTTGTGAACCATTTGATCCAAGATCCATTAAGCCCACTATAAAGCCAACGCTACAACGAATAGAGGGAGCTCATTACCCTTTACACCTACTTCTTCTATTATCACCTACTTTGGATCATGGAATCTACTCAACAACTTCAACCCCCTGGAATCAGATGATGTGGTGAAGTTACGAATGATAACTGATACACTATAATCGAAGTACGGTAACGACGAGGGTTTTATAACGGCCTGGGTCACGGTCCTGAAAGGGCCTGGGTAACGGTCCCGAAAGGGCCTGGGTAACGGTCCCGAAAGGGCCTGGGTCACGGTCCCGAAAGGGCCTGGATCACGTGGTAACCGAGTCACGTGGCCTAGGCATGAGTCCCAAAAGGGCCTGGGTCACGGTCCCGAAAGGGCCTGGGTCAGGGTCCCGAAAGGGCCTGGGTCAGGGTCCCGAAAGGGCCTGGGTCACGTGGTAACTGGGTCACGTGGCCTATGTATGAGTTCCAAAAGGGCCTGGGTCACGGTCCCGAAAGGGCCTGGGTCAGGGTCCCGAAAGGGCCTGAGTCACGGTCCTAAAAGGGCCCGACTTTTAACATATTTTGGTTTTTACACTCGAAAATCTGAACGCGAAAATTTCAAAATTATGCGAAATTACGCGGAAAATGCTAGATTATGCGGAAATATGCAGAAAATTACAAAATGTGCGGAAATGTGCGGAAAACAATAAAATATGCGGAAATGTGCGTAAAACGGTAAATTGTGCGATCCCGCACCCATCGCACCTAATATGTGCCTCTGATATCTTAGAGCACTATAAGTTCGTGATAAGACATCCCCAGAGAAAAGTTACACAAACCTCCGACCCCAAAACGAGGCTGGAGGAGAGGTGACTAGACTGTCTTAATGTCACACGAATGTAACGCATTAAGCGGGGTTCTGCGCTTCATGCTGACTGATTCGTGTATAATTCAGTATATTATTATTTACCCTGATTAATTAATGACTAATTAAACGAACCGGATAATTAAGGATCTTTCACCAACTTTGTCAGAAACAATTCACAGCCAGCTAAACCTGCAGGGACAGAATTTTAGTACCAATGTAACTAAGGGCTGAAAGGTGTTAATTTAGAGAGATGTTCAGACAAGAATGAAACTTGCAGTAAGTCAACATAAAGTGTTACCTTTTATGTTTTCGCAAAACGTCATCATTTAAAATTATGTAGAAATTGAAGAGCCCTAAAACGTCAAACTCACCTAGTCTATATTCATGGGCATGTAGTTCTGACAATTACGCCTTCTCAGTTCTCACGTTACGTGACTCTGGTCGTTGTGTCGCAGAAACTGTAAGGGTTGTAACGGTTAGGGGAGATGATCTGACAGGGTCTGTTTAGAGACACAGTTTTGATTTCAGACAGTATGAATACTAAAAGCATCATGTTGCTTTATCATTATTATAAAGTGTTATACATCATTAAACATTATCTCAAACGAATATTTAGTTTCGAAAATCAAAATAGGACTTGACCGACCTGGTATAACTATTGAAGGAATGCGGTTGGAATCAGGAGCTTGTTTTTTGAGAACTTGTCATGGCTCTAGTTCGTAAAAATTCTGAAACAAAATTATTTATATTTCTGCACAATATGAGTTGAAAAGTTGTGTTGTTAGCAGATTATCAGATAGAGCTAATATTGAGATATCATTAACATCCACGACACTTCATAAATCGGTTAGTGGTCATCACGTTTAGAGTTGAATTAAAATTGGTAAACAGAAATTTTGTCATTTTCTTACCACTTTGAAGAGTTTAGCTGTAGAGCCTGATGTTTTTTTATGGTCAACTATCTGAAGAAGTAAAATTTTAAAAATAACTGTGGATGATCAAGACGTTCAAATTTTAATATAGAGTATCAGTATTGAATAACATAATCAAGAGGTGAAGAGATTAAAATAACTTTAACTCAACAATTCTTTCATAACTAAGACAATTGTCATCATTTAAAAATATTACGGGATTGATCGAAAATTTAACAAAATCTACCTTGAGAAAAGAAATATCCACATCTAGCGACTAGCACAGTCTGGTATTACAAGTTCCACACACTGAAAAGATTAAATATTTAAATATATTGTAGCAGAGAACATTTAACGAATTTAGAGATCACATAATATCAGTAATAGACAAATGACAGCACTATTTGCTCAGTCGGGGAATCTACTCATCATAAAATATAAAGATTCCACCCCCATCGCAGACTGTTCAAATTCCAACATTACCTGTTGAAAGAGATTTGAAGTAGATGTGTCGAGCAAGTTGCACAATATCAGTTAACGAATTCCATCTGTGCTGCGTCTGAAATATTGTCGAATTTAAAATTCTGAGCAAAGGGAAAGTTTTCTAAATTCATTTAATAAAGAGTCAGTATTGCAGAATATAATCAAGAGGTGAAGAGATTAAAATAACTTTAACTCAACAATTCTCGCATTACTAAAACCTGTCTTCGTGTAAAATTACTTTCAAAATAGGAGAATGATGCAGACTTAAGGATAGGGCTTACCATTTGGGAAGAAAGCAAACACTCCTCGTCCACTGTCCAACTCGTAACCTGAGGAAGATTGCTTATCAGTGATTGACACACCTTCGAGAAAACAACAACAAGATAACACAAACATAACCACGAATGAATGTCTGGAATTGCAGACGCTTAGCCGGAGAAAATACCGACGAAGCCTTAAATAGCCTAGTCACTGTCTCACCACAAAGTAATATCACCAGCGCTAAAGAGCCTGGTGCACTTAACTGGGTGAAGAAGGTATTAGAACTAAAGAAGGCAGTATCTTACCATTTATTTCTTGTAGGGTAAGAGGATCGAGAGAGTAGCAGTGGATTGATCAGGGTGGATGTGATTTGTGAACCACATTTCCGTTATCTGATGGAAGAAAAGTCTTAGAAATCTGGGAACTATAAGTTAAGCTATATTCTTCGAATTGATCAGATTGTTGTTTGGCATCAATATAATCAGCCGGCAATTCCTATCAAAGATTCTAACTCATCATCGAAAAAGGATTGTTAAGAAATCAACATACCTGATTCTTTAAGACAAGTGTTCGAGTCCGAGAGACATCTGCGTGGTTTCTTAGATGATATCTGAAATTAGGACAGTTATAAAAAGAGCATTAATTTATAATAGTTAAATTTAGTTTAATGAATTGGTCATCAGATAGGAGCGAAAGAATGCAGTAAATCGACATTATCAGTTTCAGTTGAACTATGTTATCATCACTTTTGACCGCAATTATTGACTCTATCTAAGTAAATAAAATGGAATTACCTTTGAGTGCTGAGAAAACGACTGGGAACGAGCGAAGAACTTCAGGCTTTCAGGACTGCTGCAAATTTGATGAGAGTTCCAAGAGACGGGAAGTGTTGGTTGTTAGCATAATAAGAGCAGGTTATATTGGCTCAGAATTATGATTCACATTTTCATTCAGTTCAGTGTCAAATTTCTTAATAATCTTGATAGTTGATACAGGGATTAGGCTAGTTGGTACAGGGATTAGGGTAGTTCCGAGAGGACAAATGAAACGACTTATTATTTGTTAAAACTGAAATAATTTAATCTCAAATCAATAGAAGAATCCGAGAATTTTGCCTCCAGTGTGTTTCCGCCTTGCTTCTTCGTGATCCATAATTCCGGAAGACGTCGTCAGAACGAGTTTTCTGCAAATGGGAATGAAGTGAGCAAGGGTATGGGCTATCATTATTATCAAAGAGCACTGCTGAGTTCTCGGTTATACATAATTCCAGTTCGAACATGCCACGGAAGCAGTGTCTGATGTTACAAAACCAATAGTTAAAAGCAACATCTGGTTGCTTTTTGGGAATATGAATCTGGACTTTTCAACATTAACCCTTAAAGCTCCGCTCTTACCTCAAGTCCCCACAGGGATAGACAAGAAAGTAAGTGTGAGAATGAACTTACCCGAACTGACGAGAAGGAAGCAGATTGGTTGTCCACTTTTCGATATCAGTGACACACACGTCGAACCTTGGACTGATAACTCCGCACTTGTTTAATCGACCATTTAACATAACGACAATCTTGCCGGCTCTGTGGTCATCAACTACTTCGAACTCATCGATGTAACCTGTGAGAGGAGCCTGTCAGACGACTTGATTGTGAGCTGAAGTGTGACTGAACTCTCAAATAGCCAAAATATCATCAATCAGAGGACTGAGATGTAAAATTGGCGTCATTTCCGAGAGACTGTTTTGGAGGAAAGGGGTATCCCTTGAAGTTAATAATTTCTTACCAGTAACATGAGAATAAGCTGGTACTAGTCCAGACTCAGTGCTCAATCATATCAGCAACAACTAACAATGGGTGCCAAAAATAACTTGAGTTGTTGCTGATTTGTGTTAACAGGCCTGATTAACATAAATAGCAACGAATCTACAAGTTCATTTTGGTCCAAAGTTTCTTCAAAGAACTTTTTCAAGCTGTGGAATAAAACCAACATAAGACTTGGAGTAGTCAAAGTTATTTTAATAGATGCACAATGCACACCTAAAGACTTTCATGCGATTTTTGCTTCAAAAACATCCCAAGATTTTCTTTGGGGTAAATGAATAACGGATAAAAAGGGAAAGCAAATCGATGCAACACTATAATTTTAGATACGGAAACTAAAAACAGACAAACAGAGCCAACAAAACGTACCGTGTTTCATCATAACAGTTAGAAATTTGATGATAACTTTAGAGCTGGGTCTGATAAGGACCTGTCGCTTGCCACGCTTCTCTGCGTTATAAATCGACTTCAGAGCGTCGTTCAACACATCCATTCGAACCATGGTGATGCGGTGTTAGGGGCTACTTAGCTATAAAGGTAGGAAAGGTTAGATTGGGTTGTAGTAACTGGTTGATAATTTAAAATGTGCTACGGGAATTTTAGGTAGAGATGACTTTTTGGAGTCAACTGATGCAGTAAAACTAGGTGGGTTAAAATAAATATTAAAACTGAACATTCAGGGTTTAGGTGGTCCAGTCAACAGTGCCTTCAGCACCCCAGTCAGTAGTAGTGGCCTCAGCTCCCCAATCAGCACCGCCAGTGGCAGGCTCGGCTACCCACTCTTCTTTAGCTGGGAAGGTGGAAGCAGGTGCGATCATGGTGAGAGGTTCAGCAGCAGCGGCCAAAGGTTCGGCGGCAACAGCGAAGGGATCAGCGACGACAGGAGCGGCGTTGTAAGTATCCTGAGCAGGTTGTACTTCAGGTACCTCGGCAACCTCTTCCTCCTCCTTGGTCTCCTCGCGGAAGAAGTACAGATCGGGCATGACATCCCAGTCGATGGTTCGTGGGGTATCTCCTCTCATTCTGCGTACTTCCCGAGCCAGCAGCCACCACATAAGACCAACAGAGTGGATGCTCTTGATGTTAGCGGGGATGGCAATGTCGACGTACTTGGTGGGGGAATCGGTGTTGCAGAAAGAGATAACGGGGATGTTAACGTAACTGCTCTCCATGATAGCCTGGTGATCGGCACAGGGGTCGGTCACAACCAGAAGTCTGGGCTCCTTGAAAGCAGCCTGGATCTGATTAGTGAATGTACCAGGGGTAAATCGGCCGGCGATGGCAGTAGCTCCGGTGTGAAGAGCAAACTTCAGGACGGCTCTCTGAAAGCAACGAGGGATTAATGTTATTTTCCTCTAACTAAGAGCTCTGAAATCATTCAGTGATAACTGATAATTGTTCTGATGAAGTGAATACAGTATATTCTAATTGTTGCGTACGTTTCCAACCACTGCCATAATATTACTGGCAAAGATGAACTGTAGGCTGGGTTCTCTCGCATAACTCCGTAGGAATATGTAAATTGGACTACATCTTCCAAAGATTTATGCTACCTTATTTTCCAGTAATGGAAATTATAATTTCAAAGAGAACAGGGTACACACCTGTCCGTAGTTTCTCGATGAGATGACACAAACGTCAGCGGGGTTCTCGATACTAGCGATCACACGTGCGGCTAGAAGGAGCTTCTCCCAGGTCTTTTTTACATCAATGATGCAAACGTCGTTCCTCTTCTTGAACACGTAACTCAACATCTGAAAACGATCTTGTTAAGCGTGAGGTAACATTAGGGATAATGACAAATCAACAAGGTTGGGTGCCATTTCTCAAAATTGATTTGCAGAGCAAAAAGGCGGGCTTACGCCAAGAGTTTATCTATTGCATGCACACAACTAGGACTATAGACGGCTAGGAACGGGTAAATAGCGGCTTAGAAAATAAATGCGCGTCGCGGTGCGCGCTAAAAATTTCTCTCAATTGCGAGAGGTGGTCTGGTTTTCTTAGAAGAAACCAACCGCGCCCGCCGTAAAGTCAGCTGCATCCTGTCCTTCGAGGACCGATTCGTCCCATTCTCCGCAGATTACTTATTGTGCGGAGGGTCCCTTGCTGGACCCCCAAACTTTAGTTATGTCCCATTTCCCATTTCCCTTACAGGATTGATCAATTTTAGCTTTCCATGATTAATTGTAGAATTACACGAAATTCAGGGTGAAAATTTGAAAATTGAAAGCCCCCCCCCCCCCCCCCCCATCTTATTTCTCCCAAGTATGATGACCTGCAGAGTGTTTCTAACAGGCAATATGTTATTAAATTCAGGTGAACAAGAATATAGTGAAACCAGATTTTAGCACGGTAGATTGACTAACTCTCCAACCAGTGGATAACAAATTTGACGTTGCATATAGGCCTAGCCAGATGGATGGCCAAAATACCTCGCGGACTAAAGCGCACCCTAGGGCTGCTAAGTCATGTGTCACCAAGTTCAGCCTGGCCCTTTTATAACCATAACCTTAGCAAATGCCCTTATTTTAGGCTTACCTCTCTAGTTTATCACAAATCAGATTTATGTTGGTGACAAGCAATCGCCGATACAATGCTCCACAATGTTTTGTTTCGCATAAAATTTTCAATAAATTCTAATTTAATGGCGAATTCAAAAGATTTATAACTTAACTTGCATTTACCCGTCTAGAAATAAGTCTAAATGATTATGCAAGTCATTATGATTATGTAATTTTAAACATGCATTTAATCAAAACTCTAAAGTTAACCTCCAAATTTAAATTGGGAACGGCATTTACCCTCAACTTTCAGGATTTACTAAATTTTCTTAGTTTGGGGCCGATAAAGCATGTTACCGCAAATAAAGGCCTACTACTCTACTGGAAGAATTACATAATCATATGATCTTCATTTTAGTATTCAAGAAGATTGGGATAATTGTTATCAGTTTAATGGCCCATGCAACAATAACTCATTCTAGTGGGGTTCAATTAGCGGCCTGGGAGCTCAATTATTATCCCAATTTAGAAGCCCTGAATTTTATTGTTTTGTTCCAGATCAGCGAACCTTCTACAAACAATTGTACAAGTATTAGGAAATGGGATTTGTTGTGGCATCTGCTGTAGTCTCGAACGAAAAATTCTCGCCTAAGAGGATAAAGATGCGAAATAGCTGGACAGAATTAAACCCACGCAATTGGTCCAGAATAGGCGTTGGCAGTAAAAGTGATCTTGCAGAGAGCGTCCATTTAGCTAGTAGTATTTTAAGCTGATACAGGCATAGTCAAAAATGTGTTTCAAACGGTTATTAGTACCAACTTAATTGTTGTTAAATATCTTCGGAAAACACCATCTAGTTCCAGTTAAGTTTACTTCTGGGAAAATTTGGTCAAAATGGGAACGCCCGGGACACAGCAGAAACCAAAATATAATTTTTTTATCCTGATCCTAATCTTGGCGAAAATGTCAACTTGGCCAAGATTTTATTTAAGGGTCAGAACAAGGAAAAAAATAGTTCATTTTTAACACTCACTCACATTGCTAGTATAGTGTGTTAAGTGTTCAATACAAATTTTGTTTTCCATATCTTTGCAAGATCCCAGCCCACCCAGAATTGAACCACCCTAACAGCAATATGCCACAAATAATTGTATTTACGGAAAGTACACGTTTCAAAAGTTTGTCATTTTAAACTGAAGGTAGAGGTTGTAAAAACGTACAACGCCAGGGGGAGGCCGAGGGAATCAATAGTCGGCACACAGAGGGTAGGTGTTAAGGTAGAGTTCGGACAATGTTAAGTTCAGCGGATGTCTAAGAAGACGTGGAATTCAGCGGAGCAAAGGCCAAATAGTGAGCTCTTTGCAGTTGATCACTGCTCATGAAATACATTGTAAGCTCAAGTTTAAATAACGAGGAAGAAAGATAAGTTCGTTTACAACAAATGAAGGGCGCAACTGAGGCTTTAAGACAAAATACATGTATTGTGCAAAACTTTTTAAGATAGAGGAATTGATGGCATCGAAGTCAGTGAAAAACTAGAAATTGCAAATATTTTCAGGTTTTCAAGATCGAGAACGAGCGATGCCCAGAGGGCCTCAGCGAGACGTGAGGTTCCCCGGGGTCCGGAGATTCGGCAAAAGGCTCCGATTTCAGAAGAAAAAGAAGATGATACAGTGCCACCGGCAAAAATCTTATCATTTTTCCCTTTTGAGCCTATCTAAAGCAATTTTTGATTTCTTAGTTGAAAAATCTGATGTTTCTATGAAAATATTAAAAAATCGTCCCAACATCTATGTAATCTATGAAATCTGATGTCTCTTAGACACTCTGGAGATAAATTATGTCATTTGAATAGACTTACAAAAGTTGAAAACAACTCCATTTCAGCTAAGTCGTATACTTAGTTACTAAATTTGGTTATACACCTTAAGTAGCAGAAGCAAAAAAAGGTGAAAATGTGGGTTCGCAAGGAATATGGAAAGTAGTCTTACTTGAAAGTTAACGTTTCCGGCTCCAAGATGGGTGCCAGCGGCCAGCATCTTCGTGACATCATCCTTTTGCAGAGCAAGAACTTTCAGACCTCCGGACATGTTGAGTTGTTAAAGTAAAGTGACGGAACAACCTGAAACGAGAAAATAGTATAACTTCAGGAAGGTTCCTCTAGAAAACGTCTTCAAAATGGAAACGAGAAAATTTAAGTGCAAAAAGTGATCGAATTCAAGATTTCTTCATCAGCGGGTGGAAATCGAAGAGACGAAAAGGCCTCGAAACTTGGGGTGACTTACCGATAACTGCCAAATAGAGATAAAATTGAATATTGAATCTAAAAGTGTAAAGGCGTTTGAAGCTCTATTTATCCAACGCGAAAATTTGATTCGAACATTACGACTTTGCTTACTTAAGCCGCGCGAAATATCAAACCAAAGTGACTCTTTTGCATGATATGAGTGCGTATTCAGTATTATTTGTATTTAATTGGAAGAACTGAAGAAGGCCGCTGCTGATATGTCATTTTCAGTACTGACAACCCTTGTTTTAATTTTTCGTCAATTCGTATCCAATTGTTGTTGTTGTTGAAACTGTAATTGTAAACTGAAACTGAAACTGAAAACGTGAAAATGTTGCGGATGTATCAATTTTTTTGCTTCAACTTACTGGGCCGCTCTCAGCTTGTCAATTGTCATTCCGCCTAATCTCTATTCTATGATTATGAACATTAATATAATAGCCCGAGGTCCCTTGTCATACGTTGTATGACCCGCCGCGCACGAGTGCGCGGCTCCCCCTGTATCGTAGAAACTCTACAGTGACAAGTGAAGCGACAAAATGTAGTATTCAAATGCAAAATGTAGTATTCATGATTCATGATTCATGAATACCAATTACAAACAACAAATTACGTCTTCGCGATTTCTTAGAAAGTACAACCACCCAGAAAGTATCGACCAATCAAGAATTACGGGATAGAAATATACTTTACTTTATTATTTATGATTTATGTACTTGTAGGTTTGGCAGGGTAAATACTTGATTGACGATGTCAACCCTTCCAAATCGTTGCTCTGCGAATTAACAGAGCGACAACAGACAATCTCGTACCATGGATTCTGGACAAGGGGTCGTTCACATATTGTGTAATCATTTTTTGGAACATTTTTACCCCCCCCCCCCCCCCCCCCCCCCCCTCTGTAATCAGTTTCACACATAGCTATTGTGTCAAAATTACACTAGCGTAATCATTCTAGGTAGTGCGCCATCGACAGTGAGCCGCGCGCGCCGACTGTAGGATGGTTTTTTAGCGCTAATTTCGGCCAGCACAACTTTCTTCAAACAAATAGATATTAAGTATCTTTCCCGACCTTCAATTGCAACAAAAATTGGCAAGCTTACTCATAGACTTACAAGGAAAGTGTCCGAAAAATTTAAAGCATATCCAACCATCAGACATTATGTTACAGCTAAAAGCAGTGTATTTTGCCCCATTTTGATCACTATATCAACTCCGATATCAACCAAATTTTTCGGACAGTTGTAAAAGCCTTATTAGAAGGTCGTCGCCAATTTCCAGAATGATCTTATTTAAGGAACTGAAGATAAATCCAAATAATACGACAAAAATGGTCGAATTTGGACGAATTTGGTAAAATTACGCGACTTTTACAGCTACTTTTGCTCCAAAAGCCGCGCACCATCAAATATGGCACCTAGGCTAAACTCACTGATCTTTCCAAAAAAGGTATGACAAATTTGGTATTGTGAAAATTCTCACAGTCTCTAGAAAACATGGTGGTACAAAAATTTTCAAAATCCGAGCAAGTTTATTTTTATCGTGCACCCCCTAATCATTCGGTAAACCCCCCCTCAGCTGATTATGTAATATGTGAACGACCCCCAACAGTGAAGTTGAACAGTGAACAGTATCAAGGGCGTTTTTTCCGAGCGTGCTAAATCATTCTACACTCGATCTTCGCGATTTTTCTAAAATGTAAAAGGTTTTTTTGAAACCAACATCCAAACATAATCGATGTATTTTGAATTTTCAGACGCTGATTCCGAATCACCCCCCCCCCCATTAGTAATAACCATACGATATTAGATTGACCATTGTTAATGATCTGGCCCGGCGCGCGCTTATACTTTGTAGCACTTGCCATCGGGCAACATTTTGAAGAGAAAGTTGACGGATGTTACTCGTCTAAATTTCTTCGAAGTAGCGCGCGCCGCTTTCGACGGCAAGTGCTACGAAGTTGGAAGTAGCGCGCGCCGGGCCATGGATCATTAACAATGGTCAAGGAGAAAGCGGCGCGCGCGCTACTTCGAAGAGATTTAGACGAGTAAGTGTTACGACGGCAAGTGTTACGAAGTAGCGCGCGCCGGGCCAGATCATTAACAATGGTCAAGATAATCACATTTGTAATAAATAAAACCTCTCTGTACTAATCTTAACTGGCCTACCTGAATAACCAAACCTTTTCTTTTCCTCGGCCTCAACAATCAAACAGAGTTGTTCATATCGTATTTGGTTTTGACCATTGGTAATGATCAGGCCCGGCGCGCGCTACTTCGTAGCACTTGCCATCGAGAAGAAAGCGGCGCGCGCTACTTCGAAGAAATTTAGACGAGTAACATCCGTCAAATTTGGTTGTATCATGTTGCGACTTAACGGGTGATACTCGTAAATTATTTGTTCCATATATTTGACCGTCGACGCGCGTCCTGGTAGGTTATAAACCTACAAGTTGCGACCCCCACGGTCGTTTCACTATGACGATATGGGGGGAGCCGCGCACTCGTGCGCGGCGGGTCACACAACGTATGACAAGTATTTGGTGGGTGATGTAAACATGCACATTGGCGTAACGTTACCTGTTGGTGCCCCCACGCTTAAAAAACGCCCCCTGTTTGCACCGCCTCCCCTTTGGCGGCCCCTCACTGCACTTGCTCTATCAAGAGCCCTTGCGCTTGCAGTAGCGCCCGCCTCTTGACTTGTGAAACAAGCGCGCCCGCAGCGGCGCGAAAGCACATGGTTAGGTGAAGCCCCTCACTAAAATTGAACAACTTAAATGATTTTAGCTACAAGCTAAATTGTCCCACATTCAAGCGTCGATTTGGCGCCCCCTAAGATTGCGCCCCCACCCCGCACAGCTTTAGGTTAACCTGTAAACATCACGTTGCTCTATTATATCCAGAGCCCTCTCGCTTGCAGTAGTGCGCGACCGCCGAAACAAGCGCGTCACGCAGTAGGTGTGCGTACTACTACTACTACTAGACTCATGGCTAGGTGAAACATCAGGTGGAGCTTTCCTAGCACTGTATTATTACCTCCTCTGAGTAATATGAACTATAACAACGTCGGATCATAATGTCCTTGGAAACACGATTTACCGTAATCAGTAATACCTAGAGGCTGGAACAAGTTTTTCATGTTGGCGGGGATCTCATGAACTATGTAAATGTTGTTGAGTGCCATAATTTCTTTGACTTTTTCCGCCAAGGGACCCTTGAAAACATCATATACTATTACTAGTAAAGTTTTCTGTGCCTCTGGCAGACCAAGGTGAAGGAGAACCTTTCCGTCGTTAACTTACGCGGCACAATAAAGTTTTCATCGTTGTCATATTCTGGACAAATAGTTCGAAGTGGACATTTTTGAAAAAAATTCAGCGGACTTTAACTTGGATGGACCTTATATTAAATGAACGGACTTTATTTGAACGGACATTAAGATGAACGCATGAGGGCCTCCAGCGTTCAATTTATGTCCGTCCAAATAAGGTCCGATAAGGTTTAGGTAGGTCAAGGTGTATTACTCCGTCCACTAGAACATAGAAGTATAACGTTGTAATTGTGTCGACACCTAAAGTATTTGAGTATTTGGGGTACAAAATGCTCCCAGGGGCGGCAAAACGCTGCATCCCAATATTTTGGGATATTTAGAATTAGTTATTACAAATAAGCAATTACAACACCGCAATTTGCATGTAGATAGCAGAGACACGCAGATCAGTATCACAGCAGTTTGTATATCCCGTGTCAATTCGAGATATGCACCGTATTTGTTTTATTCATTCGTCAATTTGAATTAATAAATTAATAAATAAATTAATAAATTGATTAATCAAATTAATTAAATCTCGAAAGCTGATAGGTTCTTCGGAAAAAATTCAATCCGTCACGTTTATTCGTGATCAGGAGAATAGGAAGTATTTAGCGATTCCATGAAATAGTACAATATCAGACCGCAAATAGACCGTACGGGGTGCTCCCCGGGGTGCTCATTCGTCAATGTCGAAAGCTGATAGGTTGTTCGGAAAAATTAAATCCGTCACGTTTATTCGTGATCAGGAGAATAGGAAGTATTTAGCGATTCCATGAAATAGTACAATATCATTGTGATTAGTTAACCGAAGCGTAGATAATGATGCTGTGAGAGTTATAAGATCTCGTACAAAGTTAGGATTTTTATTTTTTTGCCTTTAACTTTAAGCGGGATGGTATTTTCCCAAATTTTAGATTTAAAAAATAAAAAGAATATGGGATATTTAGAATTAGGTATTACATATTTGACCAAAACCCATAATCATGGGTAGAGTGGACCGCTGCCAGTGTCTCTCTTTCCCAAACAAAAGGAAATGATATTAATTTGACTGACCGTTCTCAAATGCAAATTCATACCGAGAATGAAATCGGTCGCTCGCTTTTCCTTTATTCAATAAGCTTTATTACAATTCGTAAGCCGTGAATGAATGGGAAAAGCGAGCGACCGATTTCATTCTCGGTATGAATTTGCATTTGAGAACGGTCAGTCAAATTAATATCATTTCCTTTTGTTTGGGAAAGAGAGACACTGGCAGCGGTCCACTCTACCCATGATTATGGGTTTTGGTCAAATATCATCTCTTTTTGATTGAAATGTCAGAGTATTTTATAAAGTCGAAATATAAACTGATATCTTCATTAATAAAGAGGAAGTTTCAACAATTTCGAAATTTTTCCTTTAAAAACATTTCCTTGTGTTTGGGTAAGCATATCTGTCGATCACTGATTGAATATGCAACTATATAATCTATCAAGTTGGCACTAAACTCAAATATAATGTCATTTAACTGTCATGTTACTGTTAAAGCAGGAACTAAATCTAATCGAAATAAAGAGAGTGAAGTTCTCACTTTTTGCAAACTTTGAGCGGACGTTGCGTGCGCATCCAATATCAAATCACCGTAAAATTTTTAATTTTCGTATTTCTTATGTATTTTAATAAGTGTGCAAAGTTTCAGAATATTTTAGCAAGAACTCGCATCACAACGGGACTCCAAAGCTGATAAAAATCGTGAAAATAACAATTTTCAGTGATTTTAGCAATTTTCTATCAA